CAGTCACTATAGCGATTCAAAACTGGTCAAAGAAAAGAATATTTGATTGCTGTGAACCCTAAGTGGGAGCATCTGTATCAGTCCCCAAGCCTCAAGGAACATTGCAGGAGAAGGTCAGAAAGAACATAAACGCTCGAGGATGGGGAGTAGCACTGTGACAAACTGTCCTAGGGCCACAGCATGGTCATGACATGTGTGAACTCACATGTGATTGCCTGCACAAGACCTGTATAAGATGAAGCCAATCAACATGCTGTCATGGATGGGGTTGGGGCTCATGGGGCCCGGCTTCTTTCTGGAGGCTGTAGGAAGCTAAAGGTTTCTAGAGGAGGAGAATGTATATTATTCCGTGATATATATTCTTCAGTCACTATTAAGTCACCCATATTTCAGCAAATAATCCCCATCAAAGCTGATGCAGGAAGTCCTAGTGAAACTCAGTATGTTACCAAAGGCAAAACAAAAAATGCTATCAAAGTAGAAAAGGGACTTGATGGGAAGAGGAGGGCCAAGGGGAATGCGAGGAGAGTAAGAAGGTCATGGGCATGACTATGATCCCCATGCATTCACACATATATGAAATTATCAAGGAAATAAACCACTTCATAAAAGAGTTTCGAAAGACAAAGAAAGAAAAATAAGGCAATTACTAATCCCAGGAGGAGGAAAATTTAAATAAGAAGGAAATCTCATCTTAAAATACTACAAGACTCAGAAGAAACCATCTCCATCATATTAATGCAAACACTAGAGGGAATGCAAGAGGAGATCTATGCGCATTGGAAATGGTCAAATTCTTATATACTGTAATACACAAAACCAGACTTCAAAATTGATATTTCAAGTAATTTTTAGAAATGTATATGCATGATTCAAACATACAAACACAAGAATCAGAAATTGGTTATTCTAAGTGGGTTTATTTGGGAAAGGAACAAGGGGCTGCTATTTTTCATCAAAAACTTATTAGGATGCTACTATTTTAAAGCTGGTGTGTAATATCATCACAAAGATGTTTTAAATTTGATTGTCTGGGCAGATTCTTTAATTGTTTCCAGCACACTCTTCTTAGCTCTTTTTTTTTTTTTCCCACCTGGCTAGCCACCCATGCTCTCCCTAACTGGCTTCTCTGTTCTCTCTCTCTCTCTCTCTCTCTCTCTCTCTCTCTCTCTCCTCTCCAACTTGGGTCCTCATTCAGGAACTGGAATCCAAAGGCACAGTATTTTCTATGTGACATTGCAAACCCTTCTCTACTGTATTTTCTTAGCTTAACTGTTGTCTCTATTTGCACTTTAAATCACTTGAAATCTGGCTTAGAAACTATAGTTCAGCCATCAAACGAATTTAAACGACTGAACCATGCCCCCCCCCCCAAAGGAACCATTATGGGGACGGAGCATCCGCCGTCTGTCCCTGAGATCCCTAACTATCCAGATAGCTTTACATTTACAATTTGTCTTTGAGGGGCTTGTTTAAATCTTCCAGGCCTGCGGAAGTCCTCTTGCGACCATCAGGAACTGAACTTGACATCTGTTTTGTAGAAATATTGAAGAGGGTATTAGTGACTGGTAGCACGGTCGCCCAAATACTTCTCAGTTAGGAAACATGAAACATTTTGAACAGACTTCTCAGAGAACAGCACAGCAGCCGCTCCAGCTCTCGTGGTATTCCTCAATGGGTATTTTTATCCCTCCATCTGAAAACAACAGCCTAAAGGGAGGAGGAGAACACATGGCCTCCTCTTAGGGCCAAAACTCTGCTCTGCTTAAACATTGCCAAGTGATCTACAACAGCTGCGCCCGTTGGGGGACAACATCAACTTGGTGCCATCTGCCCATCCCACCAAAGGTGAGCGAGCGAACAGAATCGGCTTCCCACGTGGCGGCACAGACAGTTCTACAGGAAGTGGCTTAGGTGTCCAACCTTTCTTCTTTTCCTCCATCGGATAAAGGTGGGTACCATTGGGAGGGCCCCAAATCCTGGGTTGAAACTCAGTTCTGAAAATATTAAGAAAAAGCACCACAGCCGGGCGGTGGTGGCGCACGCCTTTAATCCCAGCACTCGGGAGGCAGAGGCAGGCGGATCTCTGTGAATTCGAGACCAGTCAGTTAGGAAACATGAAACATTTTGAACAGACTTCTCAGAGCTAGTTCCAGGACAGGCTCCAAAGCCACAGAGAAACCCTGTCTCAAAAAACAAAACAAAAAAGAAAAAGAAAAAAAAAAGAAAAAAGAAAAAGAAAAAGCACATGGCAGAGGCCCGTTTCAAGCAGGTTTGCTTCCTAGACATACACAATTCTACTGGAGACAATGGGCAGCTAGTGTTTCCCCTGCCCAGGTGAGATGGGCCCTGTGCACATCTGCTCAGAACCTAATGGGGATCAGTCACACATCTACGGACCTCTTTCCTAAGCCCACAGCATAGGAAATGGCCTGGTATACAACAAGCTCTGAGTGAACAGCAGCTCAGCAGATGCTGAAAGACCCGTGGGTCAGGCACTTGCTCCTTTGCAACACGAATCAGTCAGACTGTATTTTCTTATTTCACTTTTGTGACAGGGTCAGGGTCTCATGTATCCCTGTCTGGCCTTGAATTCACTATGGAGCCAAGGTTGACCTGCATGTCTGGTTCTTCGGCTTCTACCTCCCAAGTGCCGGAGTTACAGGAAGGGTAACAAAGGGCCTGGTTTTCAGATTTTTCAAGTATAATTTTTAAGATTCACAAAGGTTTTCTCTCTGGAAAGAGGAGAAATAGGCTCCAGATTGCAACCCCATTTAAGGAGATGAAGACTGTGTAGACGTCTTCATATTTCACAAGCTAGTTTCCTTTCTGCTCAGGGCCCCTCATTTCTTGTCACGCAGGGGAGAACTAATCACCCCCCACACCTCCTTGTCCACCATCAATCCAACTTCTTTCCCTTTGTTCTCATTCTCCTGATTCCCACCCCAAAGAAACATCGCTTAGCCCAGAGGCCGTGCATCTAGATGGCAGATGAACAACGGAACAACAGACAGGAATGAGCCAGCCTGGGTATGCACCACCTCTTGAGTGTCAGGGTTGTGCCCAACCCTGCTCATACATGTCAGGCCAATGCAGATTTACAACTTTGAATAATTTCAAAAGGTCTGGGGTGAAGGACGTCTGTAATTGTGAGTACCTAGACCTGTGGTACATGGGCCAGAGGGATGGTGTCCTGAGTGTCAGAACCTTGTAGGAGTTCACAAAGGCGGTAGGGTGTGGTGTAGGCTAGACTGGGCTAGTTTGTATATGAAAGGGGTGGTGGTTTGAAAGAAAATGACCCCCATAGGGAGTCGCACTATTAGGAGGTGTGGCTTTCAGAGACCCTAACTAAGATAAAAGGTTTTCACTTAGGGAAGGAATTAGCAAGGGATATATATATATATATATATATATATATATATGATTTCTCACTATCCACCCATCTTTGGTAGACATCTAGGTTGGTGCCAGTTCCTTGCTATAGTAAATACAGTGGAGGGCAAACACGAACGTGCCATTATTTCTAAGGGTAAGGAAGGGTAATAAGAGATGATGAGGGAGGACAGCATACAGGTGAAAGGACACATGAGCCCTAAGAGGATAACACTAATTATTTTTCCAGCTTCAACACTGTCACGGCTGTTTCTGTTTTGTGTGGTAGATAAGCATATAAAAATGTAATCAGCAGTCAGCGCAAATGTAACCAGAAGCTTCATAGCTTCAGAAAGGCCTTTCGGGCCATGTAGCTCATTGTCCAGAGTGTGGGACTGGGCGAGTGAGTGGCTGCGATAATCTAGCTGTGTAATATTTCTCTCTAAGTTCAATATAATAAAGTGACTTTTAAAGAAGGCTTCTCAGTCTGCATAAAACCATTTTGTATGTTCTTAAAAAAAAAAAGGAGTAAGCAAACAAACAAAAAGACACATCCCATAATGTTCTTAAAGCAGAATGGTATGTGGGGCAGGACGCTTTTGCAAGAGGACAGTGTGAGGCAAAGACTTCTCTGTAGGAGCAGGAGGTCAAGTTGCTCAAGGGAAAGGAGAAGGGAGATTGCTGTCCACCCGAGCAGGAAGCAGGGTTGGGCACGGTGCTAAGAGAACGAAAATAAACTTTTCGTTTCCTTTCTCTCCAAGGTCTTTAGAGTCTGTGGTAATCAATTTTCAATGTCAACTACGAGTAGAAATAAAGTCACCTCGGAACACATCTAGGCGTGTCTGTGGGTGTTTTCAAAATGGAGCTACCCCGTTTCCTGGGTTTTGATTCCTTCCTGGGCCGAATAAAAATGAGAATTTGAGGCGGGCACCAGCCTCCATCCCTCACTGCTACCTAAGTACAGATGCAAGGTAAGAGCTGCCTTGCCTCAAGGCTTCCCCACTGTGTTGACTGTACCCTCAAACTGGGAGCTAAAATAACCCTTCCTCCCTTGAAGTGCTCTTGTGGGGTACCCCTTCTGGGATTCAGCAAAACCACTGCTCCCTCCACATAGAGGAAAATGGATTGGATCTCGAGAGTGCAAGGCAAAGAAGATCATTCTGCTTGCATGCGCTGACCTTTGTCTGCCATTCTGTCAGCGTCCTGGAGCACAAGCCCCTGGGCCTTCTCCGCAGCTGCTCCTGTGAAGGAGGCCAGTTCCTTTTTGGCTCCAGTCCACAGCGTCAGTCTCAAGCCTCCAGACTGGGGAAAAGCAAATTCTAACCCATAGATTCTGGAAATGTAGTTAGAGGGGAAGCCGTAGGAGACAATGAACACAGCAGTCGGACTGCATGAACCTCGGGAGAAAACTGATTCTCAGCCACTGACTGAAAAAAACAATTACATTTTTCAATATTCCTCTGGCGGAGGCTGAGATTTAGCACCACAGAATGCAAAAACCATTGGTCTGAGCCTCTTTTTTTGCAGTTTGGTTGGGTAATCAGGAAAAATTGGTTACACAACACACACACACACACATAAGCACATAAGCAAATGCCAGGTTACTAGGATTTAAAGACTGGGCAACATTTGACTAAGAAAAATATTTATTTGCAAGAAATGGAAATACAAATGCATTACAATTTCAATTTTTTTCAAACTAAGTACAAGTATACTACAAAGCTTCATTTTATTTTTTTTTTATCTTTTGGTATTTTATTAGCTATGATGAAGGATAAGAAGCCATAAAACAGTGCAAAAGGTCAGGTGACAAACTTGCAATGTGCTTGGATTTAAACAATGCTGAATTCAGTGTTTCAAAAGAGAGCAGAAGTCAGTTGCCAAACTAGGTAAGGAAAGCCAGTCGATAACCACATTACCATCTGGGCACCACTCTTCCGTGTAGGGAGGGTCACCCACAGGGTGTCCCAGTGCTGGTGTTTGCCAGAGACCCACAGTGTGCTTTATCTGAAAGGGACAGTCTCCACGCTGTGCCCAAAGGGCCCATGGTCACCCTGCTGATGAGCAACAAACAGAGCAGAGCAAAGGAGCCTGAAGCCCTGGGTTCCCTTCACCCAAGCCTGTGTGCTGTGCTCTCCAAAGACAGGATGAGAAGGGCAGCCGCCAGCCCTGCAGATGGCCCTTCAGAGACAGGCGGAGAGCTGAGCACTGCACAGCAGGGTCACTGCAGGGGATGGCATCGTTTCTGCCCAGAGAGCCAGGCACCTCAGAAAGGACTCCACAAACTACCATGCCTCCCGCGGCATCCACTTCTCAGGGTGCTGAGCCACCTTTGCTCTCTGTTCCAATCAGGTTCAAAGGCTCCAAGCTTACCGAGCACAATACACAACACCTCGGTAAATACTCTGGCAATAATACCTCCTTCCTTCTAGAAACCAAGACAAAGGAAGGCAGTCCTGAATTTTATGTTGCCACAAACAACTGCTAATGCTTTTCTCCCTAGTGCATAGTGCTGACCTCTTGGCCCAGAGGCACGGAGTATTAATCTTCAAATGGCCTAGTGCCTTTGCGTCCAGAAAACGCTCTGTGGCGAGGATTTAGAATACCTTTAATCCTGCCTGGCCATGCTTCTGAAGGTGATTGCACCTCTGTCTACATATTCCTAATGGATATAACCCCATTTCTTTCCCCCAGACAGGCAATTCTAATAGTGGCTTCCTTTTAGGGAACAATCTCTGAGCCTCTGGAGAAAGTGCCCATCCTCAACTTCAACCTAATGCTATATGGTAATAAGTGACACATTCCAGGGACAGGAGATTCCTGCCGTCCTGGGTTCAGATACAAGGCACATTGGAGGCATAAGTACCTAGGAGAGGAGGGGAGGGGAGGGGAGGGGAGGGGAGGAGAGGAGAGGAGAGGAGAGGAGAGGAGACTAGCATTAGTACTTGGGTCTTCCGAATGGCTACCGACAAACTGGCTTTCCAAGTCCCTCTTATTCTCCAACCTTTCCTAGGTCTCAGAAAGCCTGCTCTTCCTTAGTAAAACTGCAAAGTCTAAGGAGTGAACAAATGAATGAGTGAACGAATGAATGAAGCTGAAATCTGTGTCTGGCTCCTTCCAGCCCCTGCTTCACTGCTCTCTCCACGCCTGCCTTTGGGGGTCGGAGTGTAACTTATCCTATCACCCGTGTGCTAACTGCTTCACCTCAAGTGGCTCTCGCTAAGACCCCACCACTGATGGCTCCACAGGTCCCAACAGACTGCAAGCAAGTGCCGATCTCATCCAGGTTTCTCAAACACTTGGCTCAGCGGAAACAAATTAGCAACTAAAAGCATCTCTCCCATGTCCATGCCTCCACGCTGGCCAGGGTCAGGCAGATGTCTGCTCCTCAGGCGGGGGACAAGATGTCTCTATTCCTCCACTGGGCTCACAGACACACCTCACAAGGCACGCACGTCCACAGAAGCTGGCTCAGAGATACTTCGATTCTGTTTTGTTGCTTTCCCTGGGCCTGGGCACATGGGATGGATGAAGTGCTTGAAAGAACGCTAACGAAACATCCATGGTAAAAATAATGACGTGGGCTCTGTACCGGCACGAAGAGGAACTGGTTCAGTATTCCCGCTGTGTGGGACAGAGATTCATAGCCACTATGGGGCACCCAAGTAGAACTGATGATTGAGGGGGGCTATCTGTTAACCTGGCATGAACAGCTTAAAAATGATGCTGCCCTGAAGCTGTTTTCCCAACCCACACACATTCTTGCTATGGACCGAAAGGTTATCTAATTTTGCCTGATGTCAGATCCCAGCCCGCCCCCACCTTGGGCCAGGAAGGAGCAACTGAGTTCAGCTGTCGGATTTTTATAGAACACTCTCTTTCTGTGCGCTACACTCCAGAGTCCTGACACTTCAGAGGCTCTTCCTCAATGCCCGGTGCTGGCTCCTGTCATTTACAAGATCCATTTCCCAGTGTGAAGTTGGAAGTCGTGAAAAGACCCGAGGGAGGGGGCAACTGGGTTACTCGGGTTTCGTCTACAGAAAAAAGATGACTTGTTCTCTAAATCTTTGTAAGACATCTCCATCACTAAAGTGATCTTAATGTGTGTGTGTGTGAGTGTGTGTGAGAGTGTGTGTGTGTGTGTGTGTGAGTGTGTGTGTGATCTTAATGTGTGTGTGTGTGTGTGTGTGTTGGGGGGATTGTTTACAGGATAAAAAATACAACCAGCGGACTGATTGTTCCGGCTCCTCTAACGGTCTAGCAGTCTCAGGCATTTTCGAAATTTCAATTTAAGGTGTAAAGTCTGCCACTATTCAAAACCTTCAGAGATATTCGGAAGTTATTGACTGGTCTACGGAACAGCTCAGCTGGTGGGGAAAAGACCAATATTCGAGACTTAAACTTTGAACACGAAGTGTGCACACACCCATTAATTATTAGCCACCCCTCCTGTCTTATGCCACTGGGGGTCCCCTGACTGAGTATCCCAGAGGGGTCACTGCTCAGTCCCCTCTAGTCACCCAGCAGGCAGCAGAGGGCAGAAGGCCGAGTTTTTCTCAACAGAGTGGCAGTGTTGGCTGCCGAGGGCTCCTTTAAAGGGCTGTTTGAGTCCTCTGGCTAATGTCCCACGTCTCTAGTTACAGATTCTATTCTGGAAGGCCAATTTCCCGCAGACAAAGGGCCTTGCTGTCTGGAGAGAGTGACATCCAAGAGTGGGTAGAGAAGGAAATAAAGTTGTCAGAGAACTAGACACGACGAGTCATTTCCTTCTCCCTCCTCATCCACAAACGGGGTCTCCACCCTGGACCTCCAGGGACATCGCAAACCAGGGCTCAGCTCAGCAGATGTAGAGACATCAGTCTAAAACCAAACTTCTACCCTTCACTGCGAACTCCACCTTTCCCACCACACAAATACTACCTCACCCTGGTTTCTGTCTCCCTTCTTAGGCTCTCATGGGCATGACATTTTAAATGTTTACTATGTATAAACATATGGTATTGTAAAGAACAGGATGGGCCAGGCCCAGGAAGATCAAAGGAAGACAGAATACCAAGGAAAACAGAAGCAGGGCACCAGCAACCCTCCTCTCTGTACAGTCCCGGTATCTGAGCATTTAAGGGACAGTGACAGCCCTGTGGGCAGCAGGGCTGCCGGGATCACAGTGGCCTTGAGGGGCGTCTCACACATTACAAGGTGAGTTTAGCCATCTGTTGGCTGGGAAGCTACCATGGGAGGGAGGGACGTGCCGAGGGAGGACTCCCTATTATAACCTGGGCAGGCCAAATAGGAAGCTGCTCATGGAGCACCGCAGCAAACACTCATGACACCAAATCCTGTATGTGACATAGAATGCAAGGACCAGTGTGGACATAATCTCTCTCAAATAGCCTCAAACAGTCACACCGATGACAGAGGAAAAAAATGAGACAGAGAGAGAAAGAGAGAGACAGAGACAGAGAGAGAGAAGAGAGAGAGAGGCCAAAACTAAAGGCCCTTCAGCTGCTGCTAAAAATAAAATACAAAGTGTAAGCACATTTCTTACATAAAATCTTTTACAAGCTAGGAGGAAAACACTTAAAAAGAGTCTTCTACCTTATACAATAAAAGAGTAATTTCCATTTCTTATTTGTATGAAAGAGAAAAGGATTTTTTTAACTACAAATTTTACGATTTAATCATATAAAAAAAAGGAAAGGAGTTTGAGGGTTCGTCATATCTCTTTGGGTGAGCTGCAAAGTAGCCAAACCTGACTGTAAAAGGTATGACTGTGGGTGCACAAATGTCCCCAACTCCAGTCCCCCCAGTTAAGGCAGGTGGAAAAATGTCCCCAACTCCAGCTCCCGCCCCCCAGTTAAGGCAGGTGGAAAAATGTCCCCAACTCCAGCCCCCGCCCCCCAGTTAAGGCAGGTGGAGCGAGGGCAGAAGCAAAGGAGGGAGGTGAAGGAGGAGAGCAGGCAGGATGCAGGACAAGCTAGCAAGGTTGTCAGCAATGCCTATTGTCAGGGGCAGGGCTTCCCTTCTCTGTCCCAGGAACACACAGAGAGAAAGCGAGTGGCCATGGAGCCTGGAGCCTGAACAAGAGGACAGCATTCCATCATTCCCCATGGATTCATCCAACAGGGGACACATGCTTAAGGGGATTTCCCAGTGGCGATTATTTTATAGGTTTCCAATTTTCAAAAGGAAGGAAAGGGAGACAATAAGGCATCAGCTAAAAAGACTGGGGGTGGTGGTGTCCCAGGTCCTGGGGACTCTCCTGTTCCAAAGGCCAACAGAAGACTTTGCTTGTTGGAAGGGGTCATGGGATTTCTTTACTACGGTCAGCAGGGAGCTTCAGCAAGCTAATAAATACTATTTACAAATCGGGAGGGGAGGCCAGGGAGACAGAGTGGCTGTCCAGTGGGGATGCAGGCTGTGTGTGTAGTGTGTGTGTGTGTGGGGGGGGTATCCTACAAGCAACACAGTGGGCAGGGTGGCCTGGAGGAGAAGAGCCTGACGCCTTCAGGAATTGCACTTGCGGCCTGAAAATATGGTGGGAGTCCTGTCTGCCTGTGCAGGCATCCAATGCGGGTTCCAGGAATGGAGAGAGAGGCTGGAATGGCATTCAGGCACTCTCAGTGGGGACAGGGCCACACTGGAGTCCTGGTGAGCAAGGGAGGTCAGCAGACGGTGCTTCGCCACTCCCTGGTGTGCTGGTGGCATATCTGTGGCCAGAGTCTGGGGTCTCAATTGAGCATAAGTCATGCAAATCTTCTTCGACGGGGTCACATCTCACAGGGAAGGATCACGCAGTATCTTCTTGATACCAGTGGAAGCAAGCCTGCTCCTCCCACCCCTACCTCACCCCTACAATACTCTCCTATGGCGGCAGTAAGAGAAAGGAATGAGAGGTTGCCAGCTCCTTTCTGTAGAGCCATAGGGTCAGGCAAGAAGAAACTCCTAGGCTGGTCTCCCATACCAAGCCACGAGCACTAGTCCACATCCTCCTCAAGGTCCAGGGGTGACGGGGAAGCTTATGGGCAAGACAGTCTGGGGGTGCACAGCTGGAGTCAGGAAGAGAGAAGGCTGGAGGCAGCGCCCTAGAAGGTGGCGTTCACTGGCCGCTCGAGTTCCACGACTTGGAGCGTTTCATTCCCTTCCAGTTTGCTGCTGACCCTGCGAAGGCATCGCACGGAGAACGAAGCATTAGTCACGGGATTCTGCTAACATTCTCAGATTTTGTATCACGGTTCAGTCACACCTTTGTGGGCTGGCCCTGGCAATGTCTTTTAAACCCCTAGTGTTATTCTTTGCTCCTCCAAATCTCCCACTGGTCACATGCTCACCTCTACATCCCCACTTTTATCTGGGCCCAGAGGAGACCCATGATTCTTAGATGCTGACTTATTTTAAATTGCTTTCAAAGTTGCTACCTGTTTATTAATGGCCTCAATACCGTAAGTTATGGGAAGGAGAGTGAAGAGGATAAGGGCTGACATCTTCTCTAGGATTAAGAATCTCAACAAGGATTCTTTTAAAGAGTCAACTTAAAATAACCCAAAATATATACCACAAAATAGATACATGATCCAGGCCTCGCAGCATTATGACGGGAGCCAGGAAGACTTTATGATTTGAGAGACATTGTGGTAGACTGAGAGAGCTGAATGGGGCTTCTACACATTGAGCCAGGAGAGCAGACGGCTACGAGCCGTGTTATCTGACTGCTCGGTCCCCTAGGGCTTCCAGTGCTGGCTCCAGGTTCTCTCCATAATGGGGATAAAGTTGAGGCTGTACGTTTTGGGATACTTACAAGGTTTGTCATGATAACACATATGGGCAGGGGTGAGTACTAGGAAGTGCTAAACATGTGCATGTCATGTATACATACAAAAGCACCTATGATTATGAACTCTACCACACAGAGTTAGGAAAGAAGTGAAGAATCCGAAGTGAAATCTCTGCTACGGACCCTGGAGCAGCCCTGCTTCTGGGCCATCTAGGAGCACAGATTAGCTAATGCATCAGTTTAGCACACAGTTTTAGCACACACGTGCTTTCTGTGTTGACCAGAGCCCCAGGTATCCTCATGCACGATAACAATACCTTGAGATCGCATCAGCTGTTATGTTTTCAAAAGGATCCCCACCCACCAGATGTGGGAGAGGAACAATGCATGCAGAATTAGAGCCACAGGTGGATGATTTTCAATGGGGAAGACATACAGAGTTTCATCAGCACTGCCCTCAATATAAGCATATAATGTACACAGGTGAGCATCCCCCATCCCAAACTGCTCTAAGTACGAAAACTTTCTTACCTAGCATAGATAAATTGCACATTTAGACTTGGGTCTCATGCCCAGGACACTTCATTATGTATATGCAAATATTCCAACACCTGGAATATTCTATTCTAAGTACCTTGTGGTCCCAAGCATTTTACACAAAGGGTGGTCCCTTTGCAGTCACAGCTGATTCCTGTACACTGATATGTAAATCGTTGATTGTATTGATATCCAGCATAACATTCTCTTCCTCTCTAGAATTGGATCAAAGGTGCATTTGCAGAATAAGCTCTCTGATGTCACCAGGCATTTTTTTTTTTTTTTTTTTTTTTTGGAGACAGGATCTCATGTAGCCCAGGCTAACTAACCAGGAACTCACTATGAAGTTGAGGCTGGCCTTGACTCACTGACTGAGAGGACTCACATCCCTCCTCCTCTGCAGGGCCAGGGCTGCCAGCTCTGAACTGACGGCCTGGATACTGGATTAGCTCAACTTAGACCTTTTCTCTGTTAACAGCCATCAGCAGACTCTCCCCGGTGCCAATGCCTTAAATGGATCCCGAGAGAGCTCCGGGAGAGTAGACGCCCTCCCACTGGGGCTGAGTCATATTCCACCACCAGCCACAAGGTCTGCGCCTACGGGACTCACAGGTGCTGCTGCAGCGCCAACAGCACTGACTTCTCCAGGCTGGTCTCATTGGAGATGATGAAGTGGGGAAGATCCACCTCTGGCAGGGCCTCCAGTCCAGACGCCCTGAGCAAGGAGGAGCCTCTGTCCCAGCCCCCAAGCTCTCCGGCGGAGGCTGGGCTGGACGACTCCTCCAGGGGAGAATGTTCCTCATAGATTAGCAGGTTCCTGGATCTCACTGGAGAAAGAGCAACAGATATTAACAGAATAGCATAGGAGGCCCATGCGAGCCCTTTACTCCCAATGCCCAAGGCCAGTGGCGGATGACAACATGTTCCCATCCTCTGGGCTGGAGAGGGCTAGCTGGGTTGGGCTCTCTGGAAAGGCTTCAGGTTTCAGAGTTTATGCAGCAAAAAAGATACCAATTATACAGGCTGGAAGGACAGCATGAAAGCAAACCACTGCAAAACCACCTTCCCCCCTCACTGCCTTCAGGAAAAATGTTTCTCATCCCTACCCATAACTGTCTCAGGGAAAAGAGTTCGTGGGAAACGTGGGTCAAACACTTGGAGTCGTCAAAGCCCAGACAAACAAGGAAGCATCCCCCAGAAAGCAGGTCTTAGAGTCTGCAGAGATAGCCCAAAGCTGAGCCCAAAAGTCGGAGGCAGACAACCCCTGTTTCATTATAGGGCCCGTCACACAGATGACTCTGTAGCCATTTCCTGGACATAGAAACTGTGTGCCCATTAGCTTCCAAAATTTAGACCTGTTTCCCTCAGAAAAAAAAGTTCCCAAACAGCCATTGAAATTATCTTAATGGAATGTCATTTTATCATGCATCTGGCTGGGATATAGCTAACTGCTGAAAAACACAGGCTTTCTGAGGATGGCAAAATTGCCCCTTCCTCAGAGTCTGTATCTCCTAACTGTGTGTGTTGTTACTAACACAGCTGTGCCTTTCTGTGCATATTCCTTCTTTATTATCCCTCTGTTTTCTAAATACTCAAAAGACATCTTTGGTCAAGGGGCGGACAGTGTGTGCTGCCAACGTGAACACCAGAGCCTCCGACTTCTCTAAGTCTTGGGCACGGGGCGGGCCAATGCTTTAATTCTGCTGCGAACTCCTACTGCAGTGGCATGTAATTCTGCTCAGGGAGTCAGAGGTACAAGAGTGATCCCGGGATGTCAGAAAAGTTAAATGTCCTCCCTACTCTCTAGTCTTTCAAGGGTCACATCTCCTCACATCTGAACCCAAAGTTGGGGGATGTGGGTCAGGCTTCCCTGGTGCTACACAAGGGTGTCCAGTGGCCACTCCCAGAACACCCCACCTGTAAACAGAGCCTCTCCGCTTTTACACACTGGGCTTTCATAGGAGATTCCTTGCAGAAAGCCGGGAAAGCCAACTGTAGGCAAACAGAACAAGCTGCCGACTTACCCACGGAGGCTGTGTATGGCTCCGACAGGCGATGCTGGCTGGGCAGAGCCATCTTGGTGGCTGAGGGATAGGGCCCATAGCCTTGAAAGAAGCTGCCAAACGCAACAGCAAAGCACAGCACAGCGACCTGGAGACAAGGACAGAACGTGGGGAGCTGTAGATCCCAGACTGTGGGGAGCAGACTCTCGGGAACAAGCCACCGGGAGCACTGGGAGAAAGAACACCCCTCTGCCAGGGGACAGATCATACCCTTAGTCCTGTCCCTGCAATGACATGCAGAGGGGAAGCCTTGGAACAGAATGTATGGTCCCTTTGGCTTCATTCACTCTTTGCATTTTCAAGGTAGGGGAATTTGGACATAGGGGGCTGGCCGGAGGGAGTCCCTCTGAGAAACTCACCATGAGGCAGGTGCCAGTCTGTGTGCCGGCTAACTTGCAGGTTCGAGAGACCTTCCCCATCACCAGAGCCTGAAGCTTCTGAAGTTGCTGAAGGAGAGTCCTGCCGAGGTGACAAACGAAAGCCAGGAAGGGGCATGTGAGATAGCAATGCTCTGAACGACCTCCTGCAGAAGTCATGGAGGCTTGGCATCTGCATCTGAGCTGGGTCCAGAGGGGCTGCTTTTCTGGGGGAAAGATACTGTCTGAGGACCACACCTGCTGTTGTCATCACTACAGAGCCCTCTGGAGCTTCAGATAGAGCCTCGATGACAGCACCACAGCCTGTCCTGTTCTTTAGCTGCTTTGGGGAAGAGAGGGGCCCCCAAATTACCCAGACAGGCAGAAGCTTGTTTGTCAGTTAATGAGGAAAAAAAAAAAAGACAGACTGATTGGATGGTCACCATACTTTAAAGTTTCTGTGTCCCCTCTAAGTCCATATGTTTCAAGTGAACCTGCCATATGATGTTAATAGACAGGGGTCTGGGGGAGGTGATCAGACCGCGGCAGTGGAATCTTCATAACAAGATTAGTACCCATATAAGGGGCTGTAAGTAGATATCTTCACTTTCACTACACGAGGACACAGCGAGGAGCTACCTTCTTTTTATGCACCAGAAGGCAGCCCTCGTCAGACACCAAATCTGCCAGCACCTTGATCTTGGCTGCCTCGGCCTCAGGAACAGTAAGAAATAAATTCCTGTTGTTCCTAAGCCGCTCCATGTATGGTATTGTGCTACAGCAGCCTGGACGGACCAGGGCAGTGGTGATTGCAACGAGACTCATTTCACCAGGAGATGCACTGAGCTCTAAAAACCAAACTGTGAGAAGGAAGAAATAAAACCAAAAACCAGCAGAGAACAATTGAAGGAGTGGCCAGAGGTGGTGACTGTGACTGGAAATGGCCAGTGCATCGCTGAGAAAAAAGTGTCCAGGGCACACCGCAAACAGAGGGAGGGAGAAGGAGGGGGGGGAGAGAAAATGGGGGGGGGCAGGATTTTTATTCCCCAGACAGGATAGGAGGTGAGTACAGCAATACATGCTCCGCATACAATCAAGATGTAGTCAGAGATCTTCCCTGCAAATCCTAAACCAAGAACGATAAGACATAGCGGGGCTCTGGCAGGGGTTAGGGTGTCCCCCAGGAATTCAGTGTAACTATCAGGAAGCCCAGGAGGCCCTCCTCACCCTTATCTCCTCTGCCCAATGCAAGAGTACACGACCAAGTGGAAAGGTTTTATGAGAAAAATGAGGTCTCCTGGGTATCAAAGATTTTCAGGAAAATGCATACCATAATGTCATGTGTCAGGCAAGAACAATTCTAGAATTTCTTTCAGGGCTTCTTCCCATCATAGCTATCCCCACAAATGGCTTTCCAATGCTGGAAGCACTGGCAGGCTTTTCTAAGGTCTGCTACCCTTGGCCAGTAACAAAGGCTCAAGCTCTCTTAGTTTAAACACAACAAGTGCAGGCTGGCTTTAAGGGTGGTTTTGCCTTCTGCCATTTAAGTAGTGGTGGGATTGGTCAATGAATTGGAATAGCCCTCAGCACACATAGTAGAAGCTTTCTGGACTCAAAAGAAGATTCCCCCTGTGGTCCCATCTACCTTTTTTTTTCTTTGTGGAATAATCTCAAGATAGTGAAATAATATTGACTACAGAAGACTATTGTACTTAATCATACTTTTCATTTTGGCTATATAAAAGCATGGCCAGATGTGGTTAGACACAACTCGTGTTCATTTATCAAAGTAGGATATGTTTTAAAAGCACACTGCATGTTGTCAAAGCTTGAGAAATACTGATTTTATACATCTATTTTAAATTCTACTCTTAAAGTTTATCCCCAAGAGTTCCCGTGCTGTAGAACCTTTCTTCTGTCATTGAATTTATTCTCTCTTCTACCAAAATGTCCTCAGAACACCTCTGCACAGCCCAAGAGCACAAAGCCCCACCACAGCATCAAATACTGAGGGATTTACTGCCTGGCCACTGGCTGAGTAGAGCTCCTTCTACAGATGAGATTCTGCAAGACATGGCATGCATGGGATAGACTGTTATCCGAAATGCCAGCCCCCAGTTCTAGCAAGTCCTGGGGCTTATATACGAGCAAGCCCACAGACAGAGCCACATCTTCCAAGTAATCAACTCCTAATGTCTTAGCTGCTTGCTAAACTACAGCAGAGACCTCACTGTTTCCAGTGTCAGCTGACACTCACTCGGTGTCTTGGCTCTGCCTTGAGCAATCTTGAGCCAGCACGCAAACTCAGCTGTCCTCTGCCCAGAGGTAGGTGTCCTCTCACCATCCAGCCTTCAGCTAGACAGACCCTTCCCAAGCTGGACCAATGCCATCTAATTTGCTCCAGTGTCCTCTGGTGTTTTGGAAGCAAAACTGTCCGGGCTATTTTTTTTCCCCAACAATAATCCCTGTTTACCATCAAACATTCTACACTTCCTCTTCACCCACTCCATGGTCCTTGCCCAGCTTCCATATTTTTTTAAATTTTATGAACTGATTAATTAATTCATTTCTTCCCAGCCTGGTCACAGCCCCTCTTCCCTCTCCCCAGGCCTTCCCCTCAACCTCCTTCCTGGCGCCCCCATCAACACTCCCTCTCACCTCTCCCCAGAAAAGGGCGCACATCACCCAACCCTGGTACACCAAGTCACAGCAAGACCAAGCACCTCCCCCCACCAAGGCTGGACTAAGCAACTCAGTAGGAGGGCGGGTCCCAAAGAGGGATAACAGAATCAGAGACAGCCATTGCTCCTCTGTTAGGAGTCTCACAAGAAGACCACAACTGTAACCTATGTACAGAGGGTCTAGGTCAGTGCCCTGCAAGCTCTCCGGTTGACAGTTTAGTCTTTCCATATTCATGGGAACTGCTGAGAGAAGAGATTTCCCAGAACAGCAGAAATACCCCTCCCTTCCAGTTTCTAGATGAGATTACTGGGGTTAGTGTCCCCTTCCCTAAGACAAACATTCTCCCACCAGGTCTTCCCCCAACAAAGGACTTCTAGCAAGGCAGATATACCTAAAGCCCCTTGAAGAATAAATGCCACAGGTTCCAAGCCAGACATCCACTCCAACCCTCCCGGTTACAAGTGCCAAATGCTGGAAGTTTGGGGGAATCACTGAAGCCTGGCTGGAGGAAGCTGACTGGAGGGGCTTCACTTGGCGACCATCAGCTCATCCTTTCCAGACTCAGAGACATCATACACCGAGTCAGCTGGAAAGGAAACAGTCATTTAATGGGTCCCAATTCCTCACAGTTTATAAGCCAGATCTTTAAGATGAGCAAACACGCAGTCTCAAATACACAATTTTAGTCTGGCGTCCTGGCAGAGTGCGACAGCTTGATGATGTGCGGTTTGCTGCTGCTTTTCCTGCTGGAGTTGGTGAAGGTGAAATGAAATGATGACAGATGTGCGCACGGGCACACATGTGTGTATGCCCAGCACCCCAGAGGCCCTGCCGGTCGGCACCCCTGCAGCATCCTGTCAGTGAAAATCAGAATAACTCATTCACCTTGAGCCTTCATGTATGTTCCTTTGAGCCAGCAAAGTTTGGAGAATTCATGGAGAATCCTACAAAACCACCATTTTCACCTTAAGAAAGTGAACAGTGAGTGAGTTTTAGGGGCTAAGCATGCTGCAGTGATAAGCAGCGACCACAGAGGACTGTAACTAGCGAGCCCCTGGGCCAGCGTGCCAACCACCTGACTCCACAGCCTGCAGACCTTCCAATATGTACAGCAAGTCCGTTACTCAACAACCTAATGCGATTCACAGTAAAATACTTTTGAATTACACTCTCTTAACATCCAGTCACATTAACGTGACAGTAATGTGACTGGAGCGCAGTTTGCACTGCGACATAAAATGTCACTATTACAGATGACCACAAACGGGAAAAACCGCAACAAAACCCAGGCGAAAATAAATGGCTACGGTAACAGTCGGTCCAACGGCAGTGAGGTGTGTACCAGCTAACACTCAGTTAATAATGACAAGAATACATGTGTGGGATACATGTTTATATGTGAGTGTACATGTATGTGATTGTGTGCTTTTGTGTACCTGTGTGTACCTGTGTGCATGGTGTGTGTACATGTGCATGTGTGTACATATGTGTGTATGCATAAGTGTACTTGTGGGTAATGTGTATATATGTGCTCCCATGAGCATATGTATACATGTGTGCATACATGTGTATATATGTGCATGTGTGTCCATGTGATACAAGTATGTATATGTGTGTACATGTGCATATTCATATGCTGTGCATATATGTGTATACCTATTCATATGCATAAGTATGCATATGTATATTTCTGCATATTGATGTGTATACCTATGTGTACATGTATGTGTATATGTACGTATGTATGCATGCATGTTATATGTGTGTATAAGTGTGTATACTTGTGTGTGTTTATGTGTATGTATATATGTACATTTGCATATGTGTGTATGTGTGCATGCATGTATATGTACATGTGCATGTATGTGTGTAATAGAAGCAGAAAGGGGACCAGGAGAGGGGAGAGAGAATACCAAATGCAGGTGACTGGACCACGGAAGGCAGACAGAGAACAGCAGTGAAGAGAACAAACAAGAAGCAGGCACAATGAGAAACAAGAGAATGCCATGATGGAAACTTCCTTTAAAACACTCATAAACAGTTCAGGAAAATAACCCCTTATGGAACTGCTTTATGTGCGTTCAAGATAATGCAAGCGATGGGCGGGGAGGCTGCGATGAGCCCTGCACAGGTTTCGGTGTTGGGAAGTCAAACCCAGGATTTATTTGTTTATTTATATTATTTATTTATTTAGATAAATGGAAGCGATGAGACCTCTTCTGTCAGACGCCAAGTGTAATGTAATCAGGCAGGCCAGTCCTGAAGACCTAAGACCTTTGACCTCATGCACTACTTGCAGTGATGCCATAAACATTTGAATTGCACCAAATATGAAACATGTGTGGAACCTCTGATAATGATAAATATATATCCCTAATAAGTCAGTATCCATAAAAGTATGGATCGCTCTAGTGCTGCTGA